AAACCAGTGGTGTGCTGAAAATGTTTAATAGCCAGTCTGCCAGGGGAGAAAAATGCCATGATCTGTGACAACTGCCAATTTCTGTGGTATAAATACTCCCACCACGGCCCATTACAAGTCACCAAGGTGATGGCACTGATTGTAGAGTTGGAAAGAGACGTATGCACAGTCGGCTTTTCGAAGCCAGTGTGAGCCAGCTCCAGGGCACTACTGCTTGGAACCCTGGGCCGCCTGGATCTCAAGGGAAATCATGTGTTTGCTCCTACCAGAGCAGATCTTCAGACCCTCCTTGCTTCGAATCCACGTTCCTCTATTCTAGCCATGATTACAGCAAGGTTATGCTACATAACAAATCAGCCCTGAAATCTCAGTGGCTTAAAACAGCAAAGGTTTATGTTTCATTCATGATGCCTGTCCAGCATGGGTCCTCATTAGGAGGGTACTTTATCAACATAACTCAGGTTCCAGACTGATGGGGCCTCACCATCTGGACAGGGCTGGTGGCAGTGACAGAGAGCCTGCAGATTTGTACTTGGCTTTCATCATCTTGGCTCACATCACACTAGTCAGAGCTAGTGTCACAGCGCCACCTAAATGCAAGGGATTTGGCAAGTGAGATGGAGCTGATGGACTGGTGAGTAGCACAGTCTCATCAGGTCTTCCCTGGTGGCTCAGATGGTAAAGAATCTGCCTGAATGCAGGAGACTGGAGTTCAGCCCCTGAGTCAGGAAGATCCCCTGAAGAAGGGGACGGCTACCCACTCCAGTATTCTTGCCTGGAGAATCCCATAGACAGCGGGGCCTGGTGTGCTACAGAGTCAGACATGACTGACTGACTAAAACACACGGTCTCATCACGCCCATGGTGGTTTTCAGCAAGCATCAGTGTTTCTTGATGGTTCAGGACACACCATATTCAGGGCACCCAGGAAGGTGTTAAGGAGAAATAAAGGAACTGACTGAATGCCTTGGGAAAATCTGAAGTGCAACAAGAATCTTCAAACAATATTTTTCCCTATTAATAAATACTACTCTGCCAAACCAATAGTTCTTCTGTGACCAGGAAGGAGACTTATAGCTGAATAAAATCCCCAGGCAGGCTTTTCTCTGACATTTGCCACACTTGAGAGATGCTGCAAGTTGTGAACACGCCTGTATAAACCATAAACCAACCATCTGAGGTTTTCCTGCCTGAGTCTGAAGGCCGGATCCTGGGGCACAGAGCTTTCCTGAGAGGAGGCAGGTCCTCAGAGTCCAAGGGTCCCGGAGACAAGGATCATCTAAGGCTGGAGGGACTCCCAGGGACTTTTACCTAAAACCACAGCATTTCATTTTAATTCAACAGATGTAGATTTTGTGCCCAGGGAGACCCAGGTGTGGAGGCTTCCCCCCAGGGCTTCTTCAGAGGTTCCTGTAGAGGTTCCTCCAATCTCCCACTCCTTCCTGGATCTGCATTAGCTGATTAGACGCAAGATCACTTTAACCACCGCTCTTCTCAAAGCAAATAGCTTTGCCTCTAGGGCTGGGGAAATGCACCGAAATGCATACCTACATACCTATTTCAGTGCATTTCCCCAGTCCCAGAGGCAAAGACATTTGCTTTGAGAAAGTCTGTGATTTCAACCCTAACTCAGCCCCTAATTAATTACCAGTGCGGAACAAACCTCTTCACCTTTATGGTCTCCATTTCCTCGTTCACACATTGAAGGAGTCGGACTGGAACTACAGTGCTAACACATCCTTTGTGAAACCTTCCAGACTGATTAGCACAAGGGGAAAGAGGCTAGTGGGTAGGGCCCCAGAACCGTATTCTACCTTCCAACCAGAGCAGATGTATATTTAATGTATTAGATTTTAGAGCAGATATTTTTTTTGTTTTTTGTTTGTTTCCCAAAGGAGAGCCACTACTTCATAAGTTTTTTTAAAGTTGTTTCTAATACTTTATTTTTACACTTGAAAACCACTGGACTCCATCTGACTACTTGAGAAAGTTGGAGAAAGTGGACGGATGACAGATGATGTGTCCAGGACAGAGGTAAGGCCACCTGGTGGCCCACGACATACTCAGCTAGCTCGCTTCCCTCTCATCAGACAAACCATTAGTAAGCTTCTCTAACTGCCTCCTCTCCCTCTAACCTGCCGCACCTTACAAAAAAACCCAGACTCAGTAAGCAATATACAGAGTGGTGGGGAGTAGGACTTCCCTGAAATGAAGGTAAAAGCCTGCAGCCGGCTCAGAGAGCATGTGGTTTGGCATATTTCCAGAGAATATTAAATCATACAAGAATTTCCACTCATCTTCATCTTGGAGGTCACAACGTGACTCTACTCTAATGAATTCTTTATATTGGCAGCTCTTCTGTTTTTCTCCCTTCCTCTCTGGCTTCCTCACTCCCACCTCTCTCCTTCTCCCACCTTGCCATGAGCAGCCCCCTCTCCTATAGCCTCTGTGCAGGAACATGTGGTAATACTTTGCCTTGATATCGGCCTTGACTCTGGTCTACACCTGTGTAGGCCTTCAAGCTACAGCTCAGCGGGTGGCTGGGCAAGGTCAAGCTCTGTGCACACCCCCACCCCGGGGCAGGCAGGCCAGCTCCTCTCCTTCCCTGGCTGGCTGCAGGCACTTCCAGATGGTGCTCCCAATATTCCGGTTTACTAATCAAGGCCCCAGTGATGGGAGATCCCACCTGAGGGTGTCCTTTCTTGTGAAGCAGAGGGTTGATTTACAAAAGCCTGCAGCATCAAAAGAGAACAAGGAGAAAGAGAGAGAAAAATTAGAGAAATTATTTGCATTGGGAACTTTTTAAATGGAAGCACTATCCTGACTTAATGTTGTGAGGGTTATACAGTTTGCATCTTGTGAGAAAACTGAGGCTCAGAGAAGTCAGTGAGGCACTCAGGGTCACAGAGCCAGGACGTGGCACGGAATCAAGGTTTAAAGACAGATTCTTATCTCAAGCCCAGCATTCTCTCTGATTTGTTTAGCTCTCAGTTCTTTGTCTTTGAAGCTATTCACCACATCATAGGGGTTTCCCAGATGGCACTAGTGGTAAAGAATCCACTTACCAAAGCAGGAGATGCAAGAGACATGAGTTTGATCTCTGGGTCAGGAAGATCCCCTGAAGGAGGAAAGGTAACCCACTCCAGTATTCTTGCCTGGGAAATCCCATGGACAGAGGAGCCTGGTGGGGTACTGTACTTGGGCCCGCAAAGAGTTGATAGGACTAAATGACTGAACACACATCATAAGTATAAACTCAGGTACTATACTAGGTGCCCTATGGACATTCTCTCATTTTTACAGTAGCCCACCAAGGTAGGTTTTAGTATCGTTAACTTGGAAATGGTACAAAAATGAGGCTCATAAAGGTTACATTGCCCAACATTACATAGTCAAATGCAGAAATGATTCTGAGGCTTTCTGCTCAAAATCTATCAGTTACTTTCCATGACTTTCAATAATAAAGAGCTCCTCAGAACTTCCCGTGCTTTTAGAATAAAAGTGAATCCTCATCTTAACACACCAGGCCCATCATGGTCTGGTTCTTGCCCACCTTTCTGCCCCCACATTTCCACCAACCTCACTGTCAGGTGGCGCTTTCTTCAGCCCCACAGGCCACTGTCTCAACCTCATGTGCATCATATGTGCTGTTCTCTCTTCCCATCTTCATCTACCTTTACTTTCCTACAGCATAGTATATAGCCCCTTTAATGGGAAGCACCCTGCCCCCACATACCCCACAACTAACCCCTTCATCACAGAACCAGTTAGTTACCTCTGTCACAGCACCTGATGAACATATAAACCAACGCACTGAGCACATCATTGTGTAATTGTCTATTAAGGTGAATGTCACCACCATCAGACCCTACCCTCTTTAAGGATACAGAATATATTTTATTCAATATATACATTAGTATGCCCAAAGATTTACCATAATACCTAAAAGAAAAGAGAGCTCAGAAAGTTTGTTGAATAAGTGAAAGAATGAGAAAAGTAAAAGAAGGGAAGGGGAAAGAAGAAAAAGGGAGAGAAAAGGGGAAGGGAATCAGGGAGAGGATAATAAGGCCAACAAGAACTGAAGCCAGGTCTTTCTGTTTCCAGAGTGGACGAAATTTTTACCATCCCATACTTAACCCAAGATCGCCCCACTCTATCAAAGATGTGATTGAGCTCTTTTTCTCCCCCCTTTTTTTTAAATACAAAATTGAAGTATAGTTGACTTACGATATTATGTGAGTTCCTTCTCTTTTTACTCAGCACCAAGAGCCTCATTCTCTGCTGTGGCTGCCACCCGGCTCTGCTCATAGCACCAAGTAACCCTCTTCTACGATTCTCCAGAGTTCTCTGTAAGACTTCTCTCCTCTGTGTATTTGTCTGTTTGCATAGCTAATAGATATTCTACTCCATAAATGCTGTGAGCACACACTGCTCTAAGCACTTTATGTGTATTAAATTTAACCCTCAGAACAATCTCATGAGGTTGGCATAGTTATTAGCTCCACTTAACATATGGGAAAACTGAGGAAGGACAGGCTGACTTGCCCAAGGCCACTCACATATTAAGTGGAAGAACTGGAATTTGAACCAAAATAGCTTAACTCTTAAGAATGTGTTTTGTTTTAAGATACATTGCTTCACACACACATCAACTTGAGATCAGACTGTTCAAACTATGTTAGTAACTTGCTTTTTCATAGGTAATTATATACCTTGAAAAGTTTTCATGTAATTTAATACTCTTCTGAAATATCATTGTAACAGATGCATATTTCACAGGTGCATATTTCATCATATTGATGAACCATTATTAATGAATTAATCAATTTCATATTGGCAGAAAGTTATTTTCCAATCTATTATAAGCACACAGTGATGAACATCATAACTTACTGTTTCTTCACAACTTAGAATTTAAATCACTTAGCCAAAAGCTAAGACATTTACATGTAATCATCACACACACCCTCCAGTGTAGCTCAAACATAAATGGATTGTGCAGCAGATCCCTCCTCATCGTGGTTTTGATTTCCATGGTATCAGTTACCTCCAGTCAACTGAGGTCTGAAAATATTAAATGGAAAATTCCAGAAAAAAATAATTCATAAATTTTAAATTGTATGCCATTCTGAGTAGCACCATGAAATCTCACACCCTCCCTCCTGGGCTGTGAACCATCCTTTTGTTCCATTCGACCCACCTGTTACTCACTGAGTATCCATCTTGGTTATCAGATCAACTGTCCTGTTACACAGGACAAGTTTTTGTTTTGCTTTATTTGTGTTCAAGTTTTTATTTTGCTTAATCAAAGCCCCAAAGCACAAGAGTGGTGATGCTAGCAACTCGAATGTGACACAGAGAAGCTCTAAATGCTTCCTTTAAGTGAAAAGGTGGAAGTTCTTGACTTTAAAAGGAAGAGGAAAAAAATCATATGCTGGGATTGCTCAAGGTTGTTAAGCTTGAGGTTAAGATGGAAAAGGCATTAAATTTGTATAAAAAGTTATTTTGAGAGAGAGAGGGACCCTATTCACATAATTCTTACTACACTGTCTTTTTATAATTGTTCTATTTTATTATTAGTTATTAATCTCTTACTGNGACTGCAAGGAGATCCAACCAGTCCATCCTAAAGGAGATCAGTCCTGGGTATTCATTGGAAGGACTGATGTTGAAGCTGAAACTCCAATACTTTGGCCACCTGATGCGAAGAGTTGACTAATTAGAAAAGACCCTGATGCTGGGAAAGATTGAGGGCAGAAGGAGAAGTGGACGACAGAGGATGAGATGGTTGGATGGCATCACTGACTCAATTGACATGAGTTTGGGTGGACTCTGGGAGTTGGTGTTGGTCAGGGAGGCCTGGCGTGCTGTGATTCATGGGGTCACAAAGAGTCAGACATGACTGAGTGACTGAACTGAACCAAACAGAGAGATATTAAGTAGGACAGCTTTCCCTCTGGGGCGTTTCTGCCAAGTTCTTCCCTGTTCTTAGAACTGATCATAATAAGTGGAAGGACAAAAGACTCCTCAGCCAGGCATGTGCTGTTGAGTGTCCAGATTCTTGCCCTGGACCAGTGCCACCACCTGCTGCTCAGGTGCATGCCTCCATCAGCCTTTCTCCTCTGTCAACACCACATCAGAATGAGTTATCATTTGCAGATTAGCAGTTGGCCTCACCAACATGGGGCCCTTCCCATTTGGAATCCTACTAAAGGCATGATGGTAGAAAAGGGGAGGTGCAGAAAGTTCCTAAAGGAAGAGGTATAAGCTCCCCTTTAAGCTAAGCTGCCCATCAACCAACGTAGCATCTCCCTGGAGAATTCAGGAGAGGAGATAAGCAGAGAGACCCCACAGAAAGTGGTGAACTTCACTTAGGAAAGGGAGACCACATAAAATAACCCAAGTGAGGAAAAACTAGAGATAAACAGAAAAGTATGTGTTAGCTGTTTTGTAAGATGCTGATATGCTAATGAAAGTGAAGAAGAAAGAAATTCAAGAAACAACACATTAAGAAGAACATATCAAATACAGATGAGGTGGCTGGTATCCTGTGTCTATCAAACCATTTTGTCATAAAGTTTAGAGTCTCCTCATCTTGGTAGCACACGAGGAATGATGAGTAATTCTCTGGCACATTCATTCAAACCCCTAAAACTAATATTTACCAAACATTTTATAGTTTATAATGCTCCATTCATATGCATTATAACATCTTATCCTCAAATAATAATATTTGGGCTCCAGTTTCATCCACCTCATTAGAACTGATTTAAATGCATTCTTTTTAATAGCTGAGTAATATTCCATTGTGTATATGTACCACAGCTTACTGGAGCCTATTATACAGAGTGAAGTAAGTCAGAAAGAAAAACACCAATACAGTATAATAAGGCATATATATGGAATTTAGAAAGATGAGAACAATGACCCTATATGCAAGACAGCAAAAGAGACACAGGTATAAAGAACAGACTTTTGGACTTTATGGGAGAAGGCAAGGGTGGGATGACTTGAGAGAACAGCATTGAAACATGTATGTTACCATATGTGAAACAGATTGCCAGTCCAGGCTCGATGCATGAGACAGGGCGCTCAGGGCTGGTGCACTGGGATGACCCAGAGGGATGGGATGGGGAGGGAGGTGGGAGGGGGTTCAGGATGGGGACACATGTACACCCATGGCTGATTCATGTCAGTGTATGGCAAAAACCACTACAATATTAGCCTCCAATTAAAATTTAAAAATAATAATAATATGGGGGCAATTATTATTATATTTAACTACTACTTGGAGGAAAAGGGGACGACAGAGGATGAGATGGCTGGATGGTGTCCCTGAGTCTATGGACATGAGTTTGAGTAAATTCCGGGAGTTGGTGATGGACAGGGAGGCCTGGCATGCTGCAGTTCATGTGGTCACAAAGAGTCGGACACGACTGAGCGACTGAACTGACTAACTGACTGACTATTTGTGAGTTAACTGAGCCTAACAAGCTTAAGTAATTCTGTTACTTAATAGTAACACATCATACTCTGTGATGGTGAATTTTAGGTATCAACCTGACTGGGTCATGGAATGCCCAGACATTTAGTTCAACACCATTTCTAGATGTGACTGACTGCATTTCTGGAAAAGGTTAGCATTTAAATCATTAGACTGAGTAAAGTAGGTTGTTGTCTCCAGTGTGGGGGTGCAGCAACATTATCCAATTTGCTGAGGGCTTGAATGGAACAAAAATAGGGAGAAATTGTGGTCTTGGCCTGACTGAGTTGGGATATGTCTTTTCCTGCCCTCAGACTGGGACTTACACTTTATTATTAGTTTTCCTGGTTCTCAGGCCTTCCAACATGGACTGGAGCTACATGTGGCAGATTGTGTGTGAGTATATATATATATACACACACACATATATTATTAATATAAGTGGCAGATTATATATATTGCTAATATAAGTGGCAGATTATATATATTATTAATATATGTGGCAATATGTATATTATTAATATACATACAATAATTATATATATAATTAATGTATGTGTGCCATGCGCTCAGTTGTGCCTGACCCTTTGTGGCCCCATGGACTATTGCCCGCCAGGCTCTTCTTTTCATGGATTTCCCAGGCAGGAATACTGGAATGGGTCACCATTTCCTCCAGGGGATCCTCCCCACCCAGGGATCAACCCGTAACTCCTGCATCTCCTTCATTGCCAGGCAGATCCTTACCACTGAGCCACCTGGGAAGCCCCATGTATAATGTATACATATATATTCATCAAACATATACATATTTATCTGTATTTGTTGTGCTCATTTTGAATTCCCTCAATGTGAGATATATGCTATAGATATATACACGCACATATCTTTTTCCCATTGGTCTGTTTCTCTGAACAACACTGACCAATACACCTAGCTAGAGCTGGAATTTGTACACAGACTCTTGACTCAAAATCCTCTGGTACCTACTAAGTGCAATGCACTGCCAGCAAGGCAGACATGAAAGTCCAAATTTCTTGGAGAGAGTGCATGAAAGTCCAATGGGAAGGAAGCTATCTTTTCTGTGCTTGGGACAAAAGCCTCCAGCAGTCAATAACTAGAGAGTAAGTGCTGAGTTCTAATGTGTGTCTAACACTGACCTAGGCACAGTGCAAACTAAAGGAGAAATAGAACATATTTGAGGAGTCTTTTGCTTAAGCATGTACCTTATTAAAACGTGTGAAACAATTATGGAAATTAAGTAACTAGTGTTAGCTAGAAGAATTAATGATACCCAGGTTCGATCCCTGGGTTGGGAAGACTCCCTGGAGAAGGAAATGGCAACTTACTTCAGTATTCTTGCCTGCAGAATTCCATGGACAGAGGAGCCTGGTGGGCTACAGTCCACGGGGTCGCAAAGAGTCAGACACGCCTGAGCCACTAACACTTCCTATCTAAGAAAAACAGAAGAGAATGGATAATTGCCCATGGTAGGTCATAATTAGTAAAGACATGGAAATAATGACTAGCCGTGATGTGAGTGGATGAGGAGGAGGGTGGGGAAATGTCCTCAAAGATAAGTTTAACTTGTCTAGTGTTTGTATTAAAAAGAAAGAAAAAAAAGTGGGTGGGTAGAATGAAACCATGTTATAGGGGAAGACTTAGAAAGCAAGGAAAATCTATCCCTTTACAAAGATTTACTGCCTGCCTTCTATGTACTAAGCCCTAGGGACAAATAAATATGAATAAATCATGGTATCTTCTAATCAAAAGTATTTGCTCCCAGTCTTGGGAACTTGGGTTCCACACCATAAGCAAGAGGGAGTTATGAAACGTCCTTGAGTAAGGTAGTAACAAAATAAAAATTTATCTCTACATAGCTATAATCTCTTTAAACTGCAGACAGAGAAGAAACAAATGGGCAAGAGAAATATTATAGACCCCTCATGGTGGCAGAGTGGTTGTTATGGTAGTCCATAGGGCAGGTTACAGGTGATATTTTCAGAAAGAAATCTGTATGAAAAAGTTCTGGTGTGAGTGGCAAGAACTAGCTGTCAAGGAAAAAAGTGAATCTATAGGGAGACAAAGGGGACCAGAATAAGGGGCAGAGAAGCCAAAGTGGGGAGGAAGGATGCTGACATAATCTGGACATGCAAGAACCCAGGAATGGGAAACAGGGTAGAAACACAAACACTAGGATCAGGTACAGAGGCAGGTTTCAGAACCAGAAGCAAAGCAAAAGCTTGATGATTGAATCAGTACAGAATCAGGCTGGTCCCAGAAGCATGACTGCCTGTGCCTTGACATGGGTGAGGACTGAGGCTCTGAGTGGAGATTAGACTAATTTATTGGGGAAAAAAAATCTAACAAGATTCAAGACCCAGAGTCAAACTGGTCATGATGACATCTCTGATAGTTTCTAAAGTGAAAGTGTTAGTATTTTCTAAGGAGAGCCTCTATAATCTGGCTTAACACTGGCTACCAACCTTATATCCTGCTTGTCTTTATTTTAACACACTCTTGATTCCAATCTTACTGATCTTGTTCCTATAACCCCCGAACCCACCCCAACATAACACATACA